TCTCTCTCTCTCTCTCTCTCTCTCTCTCTCTCTCTCTCTCTCTCTCTCTCTCTCTCTCTCTCTCTCTCTCTCTCTCTCTCTCTCTCTCCAGGTGTGTACACACATCACGGTTGCTTCCTCTTTTTCTTTTTTCTTCTTCTTTTTTTTGCGCATCTGCGATCAGCGCACCGCGCAGCGCACCTCACCTATGCGCCGCAAGTATGATAAACAGGCACTGTAAAAGAAAATGCAAGGTTCCCCACGTTTGTGTGGTTGAACGGGAAGTGCCCGCACACCTGTCTGCCGTGGAAGCGGCACACTTGCACAGATATATATATACATTTTTTTCAATCTAGAGAAAAAAGGTGGAGGGAGGCGCCAAGTGCCCACTCAACGTACAACTCCAGCCTGCTCTGCAAAACCACATACCAGTGTGAGGATTGAGCCCTCAAGTCGGGGCCTTGCCATGATGTACATGTTCTGGGCTAAGGCCCCAGCAAGCCTAGTGCCCGCCCTAAGTGAAGGCGGGCCTGCAAATCGACAAGAGCCCTCTATGCCAACATTTCACGAAGTGGGGTCTATACAGTTGCAGCACGCCAGTTGGTTGGAGTGCACCGAGTCTCGGATTTCAGCAAATGCTGAAATGCCCAGGGCCTCTGAGTTAGTTAGGCCCTGGGCTCTTGAACGTGAGGCCGACAATGCATGCTGGGTAGAGAGGCCGAAAATTGCCAAAGGGAAATCGGCCCACTGTCTGAATCTGGCCGCAGGCCTTGATGAAGGAGGCGCAACTGCATTGCCCCGGGGGCCCAACTGTTTCGAGTTGGCTTCAGCCTCTGGGCCCCGGTCACAGGCTGAAGGGAGGCCGCCCACACGCTGCACTGGCATATAGGCAAGCAGGGCGAGGCAGAGGGGATCTTGGCCAATGCTGGCATATGCGGGCACGCTGCACAGATGCAAGTGTGCTGCGCTAATGCAGGGCAGCGCTGTGCTAAGAAGAAGCAGGGCAGCGCTAGGCGGTAGGGCGCTGCCTGCTTGCAGAGCACTGGTGGCCATAGCCGGGCCGCATGAGAGTGCAGGGGAGGTGAGGGCGAAGGTGGTACTTCGGAGGTGAAGGGCGCTGTGTGGGTAACAAGGGAGAGTGTGGGGAAGAGGACACATACCTGGTGATGGTGGAGATCGGCATTGGTGTTGACATCATCACTCGCTGGTAGTCAAGTCGTCTAGTTGCTTTTCATTGCTGTAGTTGTAGGATAGGCTGTAGAGTAGATAGGGCGCCTGGCGCCATTCACAAGAGAGAGCTACATTTGGGTTATGCTGTTGGTGTTGCCCTGTTGGGCCTGGACATTGACTCACGATTCTTCTGTATCATTCTCAATTGGATGGTTACTCGGTTCCATGTGCTATCTGCTTTGGCTTTGACTACTTGGACTTCAGTGTGATTTTGCAATCTGGATTTCTGTGCTTCGTCCATACTCATGTTCCTTGCACCAGGCACAGACCCAAACATTAGGGCATACGTCGATGAAGGACAAAAGGCAACATCCTTGACAATTACATTGCATGGACCTCAAAAAATAAATGCACCGAAACATAGAAGGCACTACCAACAAGAAAACACCGATATGCACCGCACCTCGCTCTTCACTCTCTTTCTCCCAGCGGTGATAGCATGAACGGTTGAGAAAAAGCGAATGAGTGTGTGTGTGTGTGTGTGTGTGGATGTTGGTGTGTTGTGTGTCCATCTATGTGTGTGCATGTGTGCTGCCATGTTCCCTGTACACAAGTCCACAAAAAAGCATGAATGAGTCAGACTGTTTCATCCTTCAAAACCAACTCTCTGGAGGCTGAACCCTGATGGTGTGCGCAGTATGCATTTTACTGATGGACTCAGCACGTCGCCGAGAGTTAGCAATACCCCTGAGAAAAGTATTTGATTTCACTCACACCAACCATGCATCCCTAGCAGACTGTTGGTCCAATTCCCAGACAAGAATAAGTGCGTGTGTGCGTCTCTGCGAGCCCATGTGTGCGTCGAGTAATTAGAGTGCATTCTTTGGGGCAGCCATTCTTCTTCTTGGCACAGCGGGCGGTGGTCGTAGGACCCAGGCATCAACAGTTTCAAGGCAGATTCTACTTCTAATCTAGACCGTTGTGCCAATAGTACCAGACTGGTGGCCCCGATCGACATGCGATCTTAAGATTGCAGGTTCGCGTGACGAGGACGCAACGGCCTGGATCACAGATTTGTCACATTCCTATGACAATCTGCGCCGTGACTGGAGAACCACAGACGGTGTGGATTTCAGATTTATTACGTTAGGGCTCTTAGGGGTGTTTATACCATGGGGATGAACAGGCAGACAGTTGGAAAGCCACACGGTGAGACTGACAGACAGACTGGCCAGACATAACGCTTGACAGAGAGACGAGCAATCAGGCTACACCCCTTCTGGCGCTATGCCACAACTGTGGAGCTGCATAGTACAACAGCAGCAACAGCTTGTAAAAATTAAAACAAAGGGAAACAACTTCAAACAAGGATGTGAGAGGTCATACCTGGGAAGCAGCAATCCATTGCAGCATGCTCTTCACCTCCAGGTCCCCACCAAAAGCACCACAACCCCAATTTCCTGTGGCAATGCCGACACTTATTTGTTGAGCAACTCCTCTATCTGAGCTGTACATCTCTGTAGCCCTGCCATCACTGCCACTCCCACTCCCTGTCCCACATCTTCCCTCCTCCCTCTCTTCCTTTCCATCACCTTCATCTCTTTCATTACCTGTTTTCATGCCTTCACACTCAGCCTTCCTGTTCCTTATTCCCTCTCCCTCAGGAGCACAAGGACCTTGCCTTTTATTTTTCACACTGCTCATACTTCCACTTGTTTCACCGTCCACCGTCATCTGCCCAACAGCACTGCCTTGGTGACTACTTTCGGTTGTCTCCCTTTCAAACTCGCTGCTCTCAATGTAGTTCTTACTCCCACCCACCTCAGCATCGTCTGCACAGTCGATTTCCATATCAGATGGGTTCTGCAGCTCCTCGCAGCTCCTCCTGTCTCTGAAGCGAACATCAGCAGCACCAGTGCCACTGCCAACACGGCTAGCCCCTCGACTCAACTGCTCTTCTCCTCCTCCTCGATCCACCTCCCCTCCTTTCCCGGTCTTCCCTGGAGACGAACCTTGAGCAGCATTCCCAGCCAAGTTTGGACTGTTGCTCCCACCACTAGGAGGTTCGCCTGCAACTGTGCAGTAGCCGCGAATGGAGGCATGATCCAAGAAGCCGCAAAATGCCTTGTTCAGGTCCCTACAAATGTCAGGAAACAGGTCTGAGGTCGCAGTACCAGTACACTGCTCTCTCTCTCTCTCTCTCTCATGTGTGCGTGCATGCCCTCTAGGACCCAGTTGGAACCCATTAAGTCATGCAGAAAAGAAGTGGTGTCAATCAGGTATGCCCTTTTTTATATATAACATCTCAACAGAAGGCACCAGACTCAATGGGCATACCAACTGTTGAGACGTTACATATTTTCACCATGCATCGAAGACGAGATGGCAATTTGCATTAGGAGCATTGCAAGGTCCCCTTCTACTCCATGAAATGCCCCACATATCATCAGATGAACCAAATGAAACCAGAACCTGGCTTCTACATGCCAAAGCACCAGGCACGACAAAGGAGCAGTAACTCATTTCAATGCAAGGATCCTTGTGCTGTGAGACTGAGGCAGAGCAGCCAAGAAATGGGGGATCCAGCCTAAAGCCAGACACAAGGTGCCAGCCAAAGACGAAGAGGAAGAAGAAGAAGAATAAAGAACAGGAAAGGAGGAGCAGGAGAAGGGGCAGGAGCAGAGGCAGGAGGAGGAGGAGGAGGAGGAGCAGAAGAAGACGAAGAAGAAGAAGAAGAAGAAGAAGAAGAAGAAGAAGAAGAAGAAGAAGAAGAAGAAGAAGAAGAAGTAGTAGTAGTAGTAGTAGTAGTAGCAGTAGTAGTAATAGTAGTAGCAGTAGTAGTAATAGTAGTAGTAGTAGTAGTAGTAGCAGTAGTAGTAGTGGTAGTAGTAGTAGAAGTGGTAGTGGTAGTGGTAGAGGTAGAAGTGATAGTGGTAGTAATGATAGCAGTAGTAGTACTAGTAGTAGTAGTAGCCGTTGTTGTAATCGTCGTCGTCGTCGTCGTAGTAGTAGTAGTAGCAGTAGTAGTAGTAGTAGTAGTAGTAGTAGTAGTAGTAGTAGTAGTGGTAGTGGTAGTAGTAGTAGTAGTAGTAGTAGTAGTAGTAGTAGAAGGAAGAAGAAGAAGAAGAAGAAGAAGAAGAAGAAGAAGAAGAAGAAGAAGAAGAAGAAGAAGAAGAAGTTGACGTTGAAGTTTAAGAAGAAGACGAAGTTAAAGAAGTTTAAGAAGACGACGAAGCTCAAGAAGTTTAAAAAGAAGACGAAGAAGTTTAAGAAGCTTAAGAAGAAGTTTCTTACAAGAACAAGAAGTTTAAGAAGTTTAAGAAGAAGAAGAAGAAGAAGAAGAAGAAGAAGAAGAAGAAGAAGAAGAAGAAGAAGAAGTGCTTGGCTGCTTCTCTCTACTATAGGTGGGGGTAGGGAGTGGAGTGGGGGATAGAGTCGGGGCAGTTTGGTAGGAGGTGGTACGCTGGGAGACGGGGCCATAACAGCCAAGAAATGAGGGGATCCACCCAAAGGCAGTGGTCGGGAGTGCCCTCCATCGCATCCGACAGAACTCAACCTCCAATGCAGGTGTGACAGACATGCTGATTTTTGTCAAGGATGGAGCTTCATTGCAGACAGTACCCAAATCATCTCTTCAATCGAGCAATAAGAAACTTTACCAGGGACAAAGGCAATGCATGGAAACTGTTGGCCGAATTGTTCAGTAAAGACAAGGGATGTGTAGGTTGTAGGAGTAGAGTTGTGAACGCGCATGTAGACTTCTAGGTTTGGTGTGAGGAACGCGGACTGCAGTAGACTGTGAAATGACTGAATAGATCGTGTTAATTAGCAATTGATTAGCGTTGGTGTGTTTGGTTGTTTGTTTCTTAGGACCTGGGGCTTTCCCCGAACTGGATATCCGGCGTAGTTGAGCATAACAGGTTTTGAACGGTCGCTGATCTGATTGGCAGCATAAGATCGGGCAAGACTTACTGTGCCTGAAAATCAGAAGCCCACAAGTTGTTGTGTTGTCCAAGGCCTAGTCCTCAAAGCACTGCATGCTGGGTTCGACTAATTGACAACACTTGAGTTTGGTGCGATTTTGAAGGCTCAGTACTCAAACCTGTGACGCTTATGGCCCCTGAGTGGTACGATGTTTTAGGATATAAGCGACTGACAGTCATCGGCCTGACTCCTTTCACACTCATTGCGGGTGCCGTGGAGGAGTACGGAGGGGGAAAGTGATAGCTGGTGGAGGTAGGGCGGCGATGACAGCTGTCGTGCTCAGAGAGTTTTGTTCCTGTTCTTGATGTTTCTGCTATGTACTCTTTCTGAGTCCGCGTGATGTACTCGACGTTTGACGAGTCATGTTTGTTATGTACTTGCGAGTGATTTTTTGTGATTCGTTGGCGTCCTGTTGCATAATCTGAATGCTGATGCTCCCGATGGGGAAAGAAGAAGAAGAAGAAGAAGAAGAAGAAGAAGAAGAAGAAGAAGAAGGATTTACCGCTGCTCCACCCCTGATTATAAACCAAAACCCCTCGGAGATTTCTCCCCCTACCCGTCGGATTCCAGCCTATTCCAGACATACTTCTGACACCAGCCCAGCCGTTAGGCAGCTCCCCAGCGTACGTACGAACCACACACATTTCTGTGCCATCTTGTATTGTACTTGGGTACAGACTGTTGTGTAAGATTTCAACATTGACTTGTTGTCGGTTCTCTTCATGGAGAGCACGTTCATATCCCTGGTCGAGTTGAGCGTCAGAGTCTGAATCGAGCGCATGTGTGTCAGCCAAGTCCAGCTCTTGTTACACCACGGCAACAAAGGCGGCTTGTTGTATGGCTATATGGCAAAGATCAGAACCAAGAACCGGCGCAAACAGATGGAGCAATGATAGCACAGCAGAAGACCGATATACCACAACCTGACTCAGAATGACTGCAACACATTCATCACCATCAAGCAAGGTGAGATGGCATGGCGCTGAACACAAAGACAAAGAGCGCCGTGCCAGACATCATCCACAGATAAGGAGGAGGGGGAAGAGACGGAGGAGGAGGATAGATGAAGCCTCCAAAAATAGTCCCCCCAATGCCTCTGAAGCCAACGTCGCCAAGTCTCTCTCTCTCTCTCTCTCTCTCTCTCTCTCTCTCTCTCTCTCTCTCTCTCTCTCTCTCNCTCTCTCTCTCTCTCTCTCTCTCTCTCTCTCTCTCTCTCTCTCTCTCTCTCTCTCTCTCTCTCCCTCTCTCTCTCTCTCGCTCGCTCGCTCGCTCGTGGAAGAAGAAGGGAAGGAGGAGGAAGAGAAGTGATGAAGCTGGAGGGAGACGAAGAAGAAGAAGAATGCTCTCGTAGTCTCACGAAGGTGCCAGAGTTAAGGTGTCTCCTTGGAGATGTGATGCAGGTGAGTGACGCCCGAAGACAAGCAGGAGCTATGGCGCCAGGTAAGTCTGCAGGTACGTTGCCCATAGCCTGGTCTCCACCCTCCAACCTCTAGCTCTACTACTCTGCCTACTCCTCTAACGGAAACAGTGCTTCCCAGCAGCGTGAAGACCCCAACCCCTAACTCTATGTGCCACAAATGAGGCTGGCCCGGCTATATATACGGCTGGGCTTACTGCTGTGTGGCCAAGGACTGGCGCCCAACTGAAGTGAGCCTCCCAAACTGGAAGCTGGCATCCAAGCTCAACCTGAAAGGAACTGGCACTCGAACTGCACTACAGGATAAAATAGGATGCTGAAATCTGGCGCCCAGTCTCACACTGAAAACTAGAACTGGCGCCCACACTGATAAAGGAACTGAAGTGCAACGAACCCAGATCGTGAAGACAGTTGTCAACAATGCAAGCCCAGATAAATGTCCATCAGCTGGTGGTTACTAATAGTCAAAATCGTAACCAGACAGAATGAGATGAGGTAATCATACACAGACGAAAAGAGAGGAGGGAGAAGAGACAAAGGAGAGGAAAGTACAATGCCCACTCCTTCTTCGGGCTCCCTCCTCTACTTCCACCTCAATAATCAATAGTCTGAACGAGTATCTGAAGTATCCTCAATGTGCCACGTGGCCCGTCTAATCAGTCCCACATCAGCACTGGAGCAATGTCGACAGGAAGACAGCCAGGTACGTATCCACGAACTCTCCACAGTCCTGATCTCCTCCTGAAGTGACGATGAACAGAACAGCAATGCCGATCATGTAGTCCCAGCCATAGAACACGTGGCAGCAGCCACGTCAACCAATGATACACGTGGCAGCAGCCACATCAGCGACAGCGCATGGCAGCTGCCACGTCAGCATGCCAAGAAGACAGGAGCAAGCCGGCCACCATGCCGGACTAGCAGCGCCTCGCCAAGTCACAATGCCAGCGCCGCAGCGTCGAGCCAGTGTTGAAGTCAACGCGTGAAGTCAGCATCAACGCAAGACAGAATGAATGTCAAAGCCAGGAAGTCAGTTCTTATGTAGTGTTGACGCGGGGTCTGGACCCCGGATGCTGTATTCCTCGACCGTCCAGATCTCAATGCGAATGAGGGCCCAGATTGGCCTGAAACCGAATTCCCTCCGGCCTGGATGCTGTCTGGGTACCTGCGCACAACAAGTGAGTGTATCCAACCAAGGGCCTGGGTGCGGTACCTTTGACTCTACAGTTGACTTTGACTCTTGAATTTCCTGTGTGCAGCGTTCGGTCACACAGCCACACTCGACAGACTCAGGCCTGGGCGTGTCTTGGTCACACAGCCCAGCGCAGACCTACTCAGGTCTGCGTGGCCTGGGGCTGAGTTCTGGGCCCCAGGCTACTTCTGAACAGGGTTATTACAGAAGTCTCACACTGGTAAATTAGAATGCGTGCCCATTCTGACAAAGGGACTAAATCTGGACTAAGAAACGGCCACTGGACCTGTATCAGTCCCACTCTGCTGGCAGATACATGCGGACTAACGGGAGCATCACTGGAACAGACTGCAACAGGGACTGAGGCCGACCAGGGAAAATAATGCTGAGGGTCTGAGGCCCAGAAAGGAAAGAAGGAACCCCCTAATCTCCTAGCCAACCCTCTGTCTTACTATGGGGCGCAAGGGGCTCGTGTGGTGCATGCCACACGGCTGGTGAGAAGACGGGAGGCGAAGACATGCCCAGTTTGTTAGCCCCTCTGGTAAGATGAGCTGCCTACACACTAAAACTGTACCTCCTTCTAACAGCATAAGCAATGCCCTTCCAAGTTCCCACCCATCTACGCTTGCGCCTCTTCAGTCTCAAGGTCTGTGTTGGTATGCGGAATTCCAACATCAGACCCAACCCGACACCAGAATCAGGGGATTGTTATGTACCGGATTGAACTTCAATCCACAACGAATTCACATGTTCCCATACACGCATGCAATTGCAGAGTAGACTCGAAGGAGGCAAATCCACACAAAACCGGAGAGAAGATATGCACAGCAGAAGCTCAAAATACACAGAGAATTGAAAAACGAATTTCAATTCTGCAATCCCCCGTCCTCCTCCAATCAATCCAGAGTACTTGTTCCAAGAATCACAACCGCGTTTACAACAACCCCGAACAACCAGAAACAAGTGTTCAACGAAGTATGCAGAAGTCTTCTTCTGGCTGCCGTAGCAGCAGTAACCCCACAGCTGTCACAACGTGCCAATCTTAACCAGGAAGCCTAATGATAACAGCGCCAGCTCAGCACCCGCACGGAAGTGCAGCGGTGGAAGTCCTGATGAAGAAGGAGACGACCGATCCAGCGCTTCGAAGAAGACAAAGTTCCTCGAGAAGAGGAACAGCAGATATGGGTGCCAGGTGGAAGATGGCAGCACCCAAACCCAACAACACAGTCCTGTGGAAGCTCTCATGCAGAGCTGCAAAATAGCAGCAGTGCGATCTTCAACTTCGTTTCCCAATCCCAGCTATGGCTGGGCTTTGGGGAAGAAGATGACCTCGCCCAAAATAGAGCAGCAGAGCTCCAACAACGGACGGGCAGAGTTTCCCCTAGCCAACGAAAACGTGAAAAGACCCGAACAAAATTTCCTGCCCGCTACTTCTACCCTCTGCCTAGACCTACGACGGACTCCAAAGGCAACAACCCAATACTCATCTGCATCTAGATGGAAACAGGGGGAAAAGGGGACCTAGACCTATGACAAGGCAAAAGGAAAAGGCTACCAAACAGAGACTCGTAGTGACAGACTTGATCAAGTCCCATAGGGCTCAAAACTAACAAACAAAACATACAAAATTACAGGTCACGGGATCAAGTCCCGCAACGCTCAAAACAAGAAAACAAACTACAAAGCCAAACGCTTAGTGTACAGCCCCACTGGGAAACTGCGATTTATTGCAGGATAGTGGATCTGATGTGGACTACGGGGTTTAGCGAAACGAATAACAATGTTTTTCTGTCCACCGGAATATGGCTAAGAATGTGCAGTCCAGCCTCAGCTGAAAGTGCAAAAGATGTCCTTCAGGACATCCGTAGTAATTGGAATGATACAGAGAAGATTAGCATGGCCTCTGCACAAGGATGACACACATAAATCGAGAAATGGTCCAAGCTAATAGGCTGAACCCCGGGCCGCCCGGCGGCTGGCTCGTCGCCCGGGGGGGGGGGGGGGGCGGGCCGCCTGGCCGGTTGTTCCGCCCGGTTGGCCACCGGGCAGCCCCAGCGCATAGTAGAGGGGGGGAGGTTCTTGTTTTTCTCGTTGCGGGGGGCCTTCTTCCCCCCAAAGGAAGCCGTGAAAAAAAAAAAAAAAAAGGGGCCGGTAGGCTTGATTTGAACGATTTCAAATCGGGGCCCATCTGCGTCGTCGATCTCCAGAATCGACGGCCCAGATGGGCCTCAATTTGAAATCGTTCAAATCGGGCCCACCGGGCCTTTTTTTTCTATGTTGCTTCTACTTTCCCGCCTGATTCTTCACTATGCCCGACCCGACGCCTCACTTCGGCCGACGGGTGTATTCGTCGTCGCCGTACAAGTCCGCGCCCGCCAACGCCGTCGACGCCCCCACGAAGAATGCCATCGCGCTGCCCGCCGACGCCCGCTGACACCCCCCGACGCCCCCCGACGTGCGCCACGTTGAGTGTGTTAGTA